AATTTTATTAGCGATTTGCCGAACTCTGGGTTTTGGGGGAAATGATTGGAATTTTTTATGGTTATTTGTAAAAATTATGCAAAAAAGGGATAAACTCGTTTCATGTTACATTGACAATATTTAACAGAGGCATGGGTTTACGTTAGCAGTGGGATTATTCCATACAGGGGGATTATTCACGGTGGGTGCGTGAAACGCAATGCTATCGCGTTTTATCGTTGAGTTTCATGAGTTTCGTATCACGAATATCGTTACCATCCACAGTCAGATACAATCGGTGTACGATACGTTGTATTCACAGTTGTGCCAAGAAACAATGAGAGGTATTTTAATCATGAAATTTATACTTTGGGGTTATGGGGCCACTGCACTACGATGGAATCTCAATTTTTTTATGAATAACCATTGTAATGCAGATTACTCTCTTAATTGGATTGAGTACGTGATAAAAATATGATAAAAATCGCGAATATTTCGTGGGTCATTAAAATTTTATATCATTTAGGAAACACCTGTGCCAGAATCATTATTATTCTGTGAGTGGAGGGGTATCAATTAAATTGGCCAATTGCACCCGAGAATTCAGTTTTTCCAGATACAACGACTCCTCATTTCAACATTTTTAGAATCTGTCGTTTTTTTGAGCATTAGAATAATTCGAAATTCAATCATCTCAGGGGAATTCTGAATAAATTATGAAATTATGAAAATTTAATTAAGATTCATTCTAAATCTGATTTAATGTCACTCTCACAGGAATTGCTGTCATGTTTTATTTAGAATAGAATAACGAATGTATTTTATTTCTGCAGCTGTCATTTCTCCCATTCAAATTTCCCCGTCAAAACGTTCATATCTCTCCCAAATATCTCAAAATTCCACAAACATTCGAAATCTCTCTAAAACGAAAAATAAATAACGTAAAAAAATAAAACAGTATATTCTCCAGGATAAAATGATGGGGGTAAAATTCGGAATTTTCCCAGAATAATTAGTCAATAATGAATTCCCTTTGGGACTAAATTCAAATATTTTCACAACTCCAAACAAATTTTCCAAATTTATATTCCTCTTAATTCGTTATATTCTCTATAAAGTGCCCGTATCGTTCATGCACAAAGCTACTTTAAACTTGAACGCCCGTGAAAACTTTTTGTCTGTCTGGATTCTTTTTTCATTCACTCCTTATCAGAGAGCGTAAAGGTTCGCGAAAAACATTGGCAAAACTCTCCGAAAAGTAAAGAAAACTGTGCACCGAGTAAGTGTTACAAAACGGACTATTTACCCGTTCGTGCTATTAACTCGCCTCTGGAATTTTCAGAGAATCCCATACGATGGTTCACACCGATAATAATAATTAAAGTGTACACCTACGCAATCGTCCACAGAGAACCCGAGCATTTTGCATTAATTCGCATTTCCCTATCTCCTTTCGCTCCCTTGTCCCCCTTGTCCCCCTTGTCCCCCCCCTCCCCCTTTCCACCCCGGGCCCTTTTTTTTTCTCATACTTTTTTATCGTTTGCATTTTTTTTTTCCATTATCGGTTCAATAAAGAACCACCAGCAACTCTAGGTTATTATTATTTCGTAATCGGGTAATTCTCCCGTGAACAGCTTAATAAAAATTAAAAACAACAAAAATATGAGAGGAAATGAACAAGTAGGACAAGTACTCTAGCGTATGAAAAAGGTTGTGAGAATTTTTTTCCGATTCAGTGACAATGCTCTGGGGTAAACCCGATTGTTTACGGTGAGAAAGTTTATAAATTAATTGATCGATAATATAGTATGTGCAGTGTCATTGATTGAGCGATAAAATAATAGACAAATAATATAATACCGTGGGGTAAACCAGAGTGTTCATCTACGCGAAGGAAAAATTGATTGATTGATTAATTATAGATAAATATTGTGCGCGCAATTATCTGGATTTTGAAGTGTGAAATAATTGGGAAATTTTGTTTAGATTTTTCCAGAGTTTTCGCGGAATGGATAAGAATTGAGCATCAGAATATAAATAATTAGTGATTTCTATGTTTTTTTTTTTAATTAATTGAATGAAAGTAAAGAATTAACGGATCGATTTATTTTATTTGTTTTATTTGAGTGTTTATTATTTTATTATTTTTTCCTGATATCAATTTTCTTGAATGTTGATATTGTTTTAATTTAAAAAGAATATTGTAATTCTTCCGAAAAAATGGTAATTCATGCGGTAACGTTAGGAAAAAATTTCTCCAGATCTGGTATGATACCCGATAACTAAACGTCAGGATAAATTTAACTACAAATTTTTCTCGTGCAATTTCACTCGATCCTCGTACTCGTAATGCAATCTTCGTGCATGCAGCATCGACACGAATCCAATCCAATAGATAATATCCACAACACCCTCCCCTCCCCCAAAAACCCCAAAATTCATTATTCAACCAGAATTTCCGTAAAAAACTTATTTTTCCAAAAAAAAGTGCAGAAAAAAGATTTCTGTCATTACAATTATCGATTTATCTCGAAAACCATTGGTTTGATGAAAAACAGAGAAAAGACGTTTTCTCTCCCGAATTTAAGGAGCTAAAAAAAAGTCCTTCATGATTTCCACCTCAACTCAGCAGTTCCAGGGATAACCCGGCAATTAATAAGACATGAGAATGCTTTCTTTAGAAAATTCAATGGAGGGTCGGGAATTAATTATTTAACCCTCATTTTACGGAGGAAAGTTGTTGGAGCAAGTGCACTCGTCATAATAAAAAATTCTGATAAAAATAGCCGTGAAGGTTGGGATAGGTGTGTAGTCCAGTGGTGGTCGTTCATCATCGAAACGCTCTCAACTTTTTGGTGTGGAGCCACGTACATGCTCGCCTGCATCCAACGAACCTGAGTCCCGGAGGCGAATGTCGGGAATAAAGCAGGCACCTCTTTGACCCGGAGGATAAAAAAAAAAACATGCCCAGGAAGGGTTGGAGTGGGTGGAGGGAAAAGGAGAAAACCTGACGGCTACACACCGACCGTATAACACACCCGGTTCGTGTCTGACTGATATTACGAGCAGACCCACGGAATAAGAATCGATTCAACGCCAAGGAGCAATCGGCAATGGGGAGAGAAGAAAACAGAATGGGAGGGCTTGAAAAGAAAAAAAAAAAATGAGGGGCAAGCACCAGTCGAATGCGTTATATTGGCGGTTCGATCATTCTACAAACTCGAAACACGGTATTTTAACATCTAAATGTTTACAGGAGTGCATGGTACAGGTTGTTGGCGGGATTTATACGATACGATACTATTTATCGTTTTTTTTTCTTTTTTCTTTCATACGTGAACCTGTTCACTACGTCGTTAACCCCGAAATCCATTGACATAGTTGACGGCCTCAGAAAGGGGAATGCTCTCTCTGTTTATTGTTTTCACTATCATTTTTTATTATCCAGGGGTGCATCTACATTTTTTATCAATTCATGTTTAATTAAAAAACTTCAATTCAACTAGGGATTAATACAAATTATTCTTTGTTTTTAAATGATAATTATTTGGAGATTTTTACTAGAAATATTGTAATTCTTACAGGATGAAAATTTCTGCAATTTTTAAAATAATTTATTATTATTAATATTGTTTTTTTTTATTTGTTATGAAAAATTCATAGAAATTTGCTATTAATTGTGTGGCTTATGCGCAAAAATCAGGAATTTCTCTCGATTGTTAACAGAATTTCAATGGTTTCCGCATGAATTACGTAATTTAATGTTTATTCAGCACTCCGGATGTTTAAACAATGCCCTTCCCGAGTTATTCATCCAAAATGTTAAGAAATTCGTTCTCACGTATGAAAAGGTTGCGCAAAAAATTCGTGAATAATTTTTCCCCGTGGTTCACGTACCCCGCAAATAATGAATGACAGCCTCACTGCAGGCAAATTACAATGCCACATTACACAGCGAAATTACCCCGCATGAGGGAGTGATTTACTGTACCATCCCTCAGAATTTCAGCTGATTGAAAAATTTACGATGGATAACTCCGTCGTAACTCCTGAATACCACCCGGTGAAAATGCCCAACTCCTCTCGCCTGGCGAATAAATTTTTTATTCCGCATGTTAGAAAAATCCTAGACTCCTTCCATCAATACTCTCATACGTTTAAATTTTCAGAGTGAATTGCAAAAAATGTAGGGACAACTCCCGTCAAATTTTGGGTTTATCCTTTCATTTTTCATGAAAATATTCTCCACAGACTTGAGTAATTTTTAAACATTTACATAATTCTTCAAATAAAATTCTTTCAGTTGTGTTTTAATACTTACTTCATAAAACATTCACTCATATATTTCATTTAATAATTAATTTTCCCAATTTTATTCGATGATTGAGATATTCACGATTAAAATTGAGGGAAATAATTTCATAAATTCGAAATGAATTATGCAAACTGCAAAAAAATTATGCAAACTGTATTTTCCAAAATGTAGAATTTCCATTCAGTTCGATTCGTTAAATTGATCTCGAATGAATTCGACTCGATTGATGACTTGAGTGACTCCAAATGAATAAAAAAATTGCTTATAAAAAAACTTCGATATTAGAATGACCGTAGTTTTACGGAGTGTTCCCGCCATTTATGAAAATAGTAGAATCTGAATTAGATTGACAGTGATTGTCACTCTGACTAGTTGAAGTTTTACACGTGCTGGCGTATGTCCATTGCCAAAGGGTTGATCCGATTTGTCTGGACTATAGGGCCTTCGCAGAGTCGTTCTCGTCGAGTGAAAATTGAGCCATTAACGTCGGAGTAACTCCGTCGGTTTTGCTCATGACGATAATATCGAGCGTAGCTCCAAGTGCCTGCACTTGTAACTCACCCGTCGTGTCCTCAACCCCATCCTCATATCCCCCCACCAGTTCACTTATTTTTCCGCATAGAGCTATATAAAAGTATTGGCAAAGGTAAAAGTGGCTTGGGGGGTAAAAAGTTGATCAGTTTTTAGCTTCTTCTTTTACTTGTAGCTATCTTGAAGTGTATAACGAGAGAGTGAGGGATCTTCTCAAGCCGTCGACAAGCTCAAACGGCCTCAGAGTACGCGAGCATCCTCGATTGGGTCCTTATGTACAGGGTATGTATAAACGTTTCATAAATAAAACGATGGAACAAAATCAAACCTTTTTACCTCGAGATCTTCCACTTTTTTTTTATCGATAGGGAATTGACGATTTTTTCTCGAGATTATTTTTTTCTTTTTGCGGTGTCTGTCACACAGTTTCATGAAAATTCAGAGGAAAATCGGGGAAATTTTGGAGTGAATACCGGGATTTCACCGGTGTAATTTGAAAAACCTGGGATTGCTTCCAATTTCATCAAATAGAAAGGCTTTCAGCGGTAGGATTTTCTTGTGTGCGGAATTGCGCTGTACTTTATTCATTTATCTGAGTTGATTGATAATTAATTATACATCGATGATATTTTTTTTATAAAAATCCTCAATATGTTTATGAGAAATCATCTGAACTTTATTCTCTATTTATTTATCAGTCAATTTATTTTCATTATAAAAGTTGCACTTGTAGCAATAATTATCGATCAGAGAATATGAAAAATGTGAAAGAACAATTATATTAAATACTTTTGACATTGAAACTGATTGTTGGTGGAAAATAGTTTGAAGGATTGAAAAATGAGAAACCTGAGAAAATTGGCGATGAAAAAGTTGAGCCGGCAATATAAATCGGATTTGAAATTTTCATGAAGTTGAAAGGAATCGAGGAAAACATGAAGCCGTTAGTCTCGAAAGTTGTCGTTCTTTTTCTATTGTCCCTGTAAAAACGTGAAAATGGATTTTCCAGGATTAACCCAGCATCAAGTTGAAACCTTGAGTTCGTTGATGTTTCGCGTGGAAGAGGGTACGAAAGCCCGCAAGACAGCTTCAACCCTGCAGAATCCCACCAGCAGCAGGAGTCACGCTCTCCTAACACTTACCCTTGAGCCATTCACCAGTCCAACAGCCAATGCATCCGTAGAACCGTCTAAATCATCAACATCTAGAAACCTGAGACGACCTCACTCCATTCATGGCTGCAAGCTACATTTGGTCGACCTGGCGGGCAGTGAAAATGCCGCTGCTTGTGCTGGAATTAATCGTTTGAAAGTGAGTTCACTGCGTTGACTCAAGAATTCATGAAACATTACGTGCCGCAAGAAATTATGGAATATTTCATTGAATTACAACTCATTCATATTCAATTGAACTTCATTAATAAAATTCCATGAACGAAAAAATTGCGGTCTTCTGAAAATTGTTTCATTTTTTTATTTTTAAATCAATTATTTCGTTAAAATTATGGAAAAACTTGGCGGTCGAAGGAAAAGAAAAATCAGGAGATTCTGGTTATTATTTGATGAAGTAGTAATTTTTTTCTGGATGAGATAACGGGATTTTTTAGTAAAAAAAACAAATAATAGAAATTCAGGTAATTATTTTCCTTAATTCTCCATGATTGGAAATTCAATGGAATTTAATGTCCAATTGTCATGAAGAGATGAAATTCGAACTGTCATTGAAATATCTAAAGATTTTTCAGTGAAAAAATGGCGCTAAATTTATAACTGTGAATAATTTCACGATTTTTTAAATCGATTATTATTTTTACGAATTATTCATAACACTTTAGTTGAAATATGAATTTTATTTGACAGTCAAAAATGATTTCAAAGAAAATTCCAAACGAGTGATTGAGAGATAAAATAAAAATGTTGGAGAATGTTATGAATGAAATGCAGCAGAATGTTCATAACTTCCTCGAAAATGGATTGTGCAATTTTTCCGAGTGATTACCCCTCACCTGACGCCCTTGTAACATTGATTTTCCAGGAAGGTGCTAACATAAATAAGAGCCTCGTTGCACTGGGTAATGTGATTTCTGCACTTGCGGAAAGAGGTAATAGTGGAAATAATCCCGGAAGAAGATTTATACCTTACAGAGACTCAGCACTAACGTGGCTCCTGAAAGACTCACTCGGTGGCAATGCAACCACCATTATGCTGGCAAGTAAGAGCATTTTAATTGCGACATACCTCGCCAACTATCAAAAAAACCCCTCCAGAACTCCATTGAACTTTAAAAAAAGGAACTTTTTATGTGCTACACAGGCTGAGATAATCTTCTTCAAATTGAATGAATTTATTCAACTTGTTTTTTTACCTCATTTGGAGAGGGCATTAAATAACTTCACTAGAATTACTTTTCTTACTCTTAACTTTTCAATTTAACTCCACCCCCTCAAAACATTCTAACTTCTTTAATCGACTTGGCTTTGATTCTTTTATTTTGTAAGAAAAACGGAATAATTCCAAGTTGACGGCTTCATTGACTCGGGCATTTTTACGGAAAATATGACGGCTCTTTTTTTGAGAGACATTTCAATGCCAGGGTTAATTCCAATAAATTCTGCTGCTGGGAAAATACTATTTTATGAAAAATATTAATGAAACTGGTGGATCAATCCAAATTTTCATAAACACAAATGTCAATGAGGATACTTTTCAATACTTTGAATTATTGCGTTTTAATCCGTTCCAAAACCTTGGAAAAGCTGGGATAATATGGACACCCGTTAAAAACGGTTCCATGGTAAATTCTCAATTAAAAAAATCTTATAATTAAATGATTTTGAACCAGGGGCTTTGGCTTTTAGGTAGCCATCGTGATCCGTGAGACATTCGATGACGTCAATTGCTCAATTAAATAAAAGCATGTCCATATTACCCCGCATTCCCCGAATTATATCACTCATGAATCAAAACCTGTCATTTTTAAACACTTTTACAGGCGCCAAATCACAGGACTAATAATCATTAACCAACACAGACCATTTCGGTAAATAGTAGACCGTCAAAAGCAAGAAAAAAAAAATCACGTAGAATTTCTCCATTCACCACGTAATTTAATTCCCCCCCCTTCTGAACCACAGAATAAATTTACTCATTCCCTCTGTATCTGTAGAATTAGAGTAGCTAACAATTTCTGGTATTCAGTATTTCAAACTTGCGTGTAATGCCCTCAAGTACAATTGAAAATTGAAACACGGAAAATTAACGGGTAATACACAGTCGATGATACATAACTCCATATACCGGTATTTTCCATTACTACACCCAGTGGAATATGCACGATGAATTTCCAAAGTCAATTAATATGTAATTGATTCGTGAATAGTTCATTCGTATCAGTGAACGACAATCCACTTGAATATTTACACACCCATTGTATTATAACTGAGCTATCGCGAGGCTATTTGTTGAGCATTGAAGACCCAGCCGGAAGTCTAAATTCATTAAAGTACCAATTAACATCACGTAACTCGTTGAAAATTGCAGGGCGATAAATTTTCAATATTGTCAAAGTCATTGACTAATAACACACTGTTAATTAAAATTCCTATTGTAATAATGTAAATTGCATCACGTTGTTGTTAATGGAACACATCGAATTGGTGTTTTGTATTCAGTGAAAATTAAAGTCAACGTGACAAACATTGGCACATGTTTTTCCCAATTGATTCCAATTTTAATCATAATAAAAGTAAATACGAATGACTAACGGGAACGAATGCTGAATGACACGTCAAAAGAAAATATTAATTAACTTTTTCAATGAAAAAACCATTTGGTAAACCATATCGATTCTGTAAACCTAGATTCGAGTATCAGTTTAACTGAAATGAAATTTGACGAGTAGCTTGAAGGCATATAAATCGAGAGTAGAGCGATATCACAGACATACACGAGTTAAAATCAAATCTGCGAATCAATTTCAGCGATATCGCCAGCGAGTGGAAGCTTCAACGAGACGTCTCACACACTGCGGTTTGCCCAGAGGGCACAGAGTGTTATTAACAGGCCAGTGATAAATGAAGATCCAGTTGCTAAGATAATACGAGAGCTACGGGCAGAGGTTGCGAGATTGAAATCACTACTTTCGGATAAGGTAAAGGCCCATTTTTAGATTCTCTCGAGGCATTCACTCCGCAGAGATTTCAAAATCCTGTAATTAATCAATTCATACAAGGAGAGAAAAATACAGAAAGAAGTACGTGACTAGTCACGTCATTGTCGCCTGAAGAATTATTCGATTTTTTATTATCAAAAATCATGGTAAAAAATAAGAGACGAGTAAATTTTATTATTTCCTCCGGAAAATTTGTAGACGAAACAATTGATTATTTACGTCTTGGAACCCGGGGTTGGAAGAGTAGGCGAACCGAAGAATACGCGAAAAAAGACATTGAGGAGAGGTGCGACTATAACTGGATTCTACTATATTTTTCCTTCCGTGTGATGATGGATTTTATTTGTGCTTTTCGTAATCTCAGTTTTTTCACTTTTTTAAGTTGACTATTATTTTTGACTTTAAGATATATTTTCTCTGTTTAATCTTATGATTTTTTTCGTGAGATAGATTGACAGTCCATTCTTACGGAAAGCAAATTATAACTTCTGAATTCTGAAATCGAGATTGAAAAAATCTTGAATGTTTTTTTTTCTCTCTGTGTGACCTGTAAACTGTTGACTACAATTAGTGAGTGAATGTCCTAATTACACGGATCAATGACAGATTTCAATGGTTTCATCTGTTGGAATGTATTTGAAGATAGGAAAATGTTCCTCTACTCTTCCAACTAGTGAATTGTCTCATAGAATTTTCTAAATCTAGTCTGAGAGATAAAGGGTAGATAGAGAAGTTGATGTACTCCTTACCAATGAATCCACTCCAATCGATCCAATTTGTTTCTAGAACATCGAGCCACATACGGAATTGAAGCAGCTGCCATGCCCCTGTCAACATAACCAGGGTCGTCAGGACTTCGAGACCAGATGCGTATCAACGTCGACGTCGAATTCACCAACGCCCGATTCAGTATCACCCAACGTCAGTCTGACGAGGCGACATAGCACGAGCGATTGCATCACCCCCAAATCAGATACGACTACTCCACCAAAACGTTTTGGATCACTCGAAATAATCGGGAATATCAACGATACTCCACGTGATTTACCCCTGACAAATTACAATTGCGCTAGAATATCACAATTGATTGAAGAGGAAGTAAACGAACCGGTTTTTGTTGATATACCAACATTGGTGGCTGTACTCATCAAGCCAGACGACACTGTACAATCCAATTCCCATCAAATCGAGGAGATTTGCAGTGACGGTGCGCCGGAAGATTCAATTGAAAATGAATTCGGCAGCAGTGTTGTGCCCAAGGCGAGTAAAAATTTGGACACCCAAGCGATTGAAACAGTGAGCCATAAAATCAATACGAATCAACTCGATCATGGACCAAGTTTTCACATTATCGAGAATAGTGTGAATTCTACAACTAGTCAGAAGCCAAGACTCCGTAAACAACAATCGACGGATTCTAATCTCCATGGAATTACATCGGCGTTAGCCGATTCCAGGAGATACGGATCTACGGAGACTTTGGCAAAGAGATCGCAATTACCTGCGATACTTCAAAAGTCCCAAACATCCCAAACGAATGTTGAAAAACGCCTCAATCCGGACAGATCGAAAAAGCTCAATAACATCAAAGAAATTGAGGACAAATCGGACAAGCCACAATGGAGAAATCCTGCTAATAAACACCGAGCTAATTCAATCAGAAAGCCAAGTATTGATATTCTCAAGAGGAGAACGAGTAAGGATAGCAGTTCTAGTAGTTCTAAGGAGGAAGTAAGTAGCACAAAGGAGAGCAAAGGTAGTTTTGCTGAATCTGAACAATTGTCATCAAAGCCACAAACGATAATCCAGCGCGCGAGAAGAGCTGACATAGTTGCTGCGGTTACGGAGAGGCTCTACTCGAGCAGGAAGACCAGTGAAGACAGCAACACGGCGTCTACACCGGCCTCGGACATACGTTCCCCCGAGTCCTCGGAGGTTAAACTAGCTAGTGCAACGAGAATGCGTCTTCAGGAAATATCACGAAAAATGTTGGCCAAAAGACGACGTATCTGTGTGGACACGCAAACTGATTCAGCATCAACCCTTCGACTTAAGGACAAAGGAATTAATGTAAGAGAACCAAAAGTACTTCGTAAAGATGCATCTGTGCTCACTGATCGCCATGAGAATTACGACTTGCTCGAGCCCACCGATAAAGTTGTTCGCCGTGTCAAAGAAATGTCTACATCGACGACAGATGCGCCAGATGTACCACCTGTTTACTTCAAGGATTCAGCTAACATTACGGAACACTGCAGTAATCATTGGGACTCGATGGAGTTGTGCCAGCACGATTCTGGAATTCTTTACGATGATGCTCATTTCGATAGTGCGATTGAGATGACCGAGAGTTCAATGAATACGAATTTGCCAACTGAACCTCCATGCACTGGTGTACAAACGTCCGAAGAAGATAAGAGAACTTGTTGCGATGATAAGCGACATTCAAAGCCACCGCATCCTTGCCAAAAAGAGACCAAGCCCTGTTGTCCACCAAAAATTCATGATGATCATGATCATGGACATGGACATGATCATGGACATGATCACGGAGACCATGAACACAGTCATGAACACAGTCATGAAGATGACGGTCTATATCATGACCATAACCATCATGATCACAGTCACGATCACAGTCACGATCACAGTCACGATCATAAACCAATTGATGCCCACGAGCATGATCATCACGATCGTCACAATCATCATTCCCACCATCCAGTGGTAAAGCCCTGCTGTCCTCCCCAGCTCCACTCACCCCATAAACATAAGGTAGACGATTGTGACAAGAGTGTAATCTCTATAAACCTCCCTGACATGATAAACATCACGATACAATCGCCAACTGTTCTCGAGTCAAAGGTACAAGTGTTCGAAGGTAAAGATTCACGTCAAAGCGATACAAAACGTGACACAGCGTGCCAGACTGATAAAAATCTTGGTCTTGAGATTGGCACACTGACTGATGAAAATTTTATTCGTCCGAGAATGCGGGATTCATCGACGACAACAATGACTAGGCCGAGTGGGAGTCAAACTGATGGACGTACTTTCAGAATAGAAAATATATTTCATGATCCTCGGTGTACTGTGGAAAATGGCTCAACATCGATTGACCTACACCCTGGCATTTCATCCAATTGTTACCAGCCAAACAATTCCATTCTCTTCACCAATTCCATAGGTACATCCTTCGCAGTGGCAAACAGAGATAATGAAAAATTTTATGACTCCGGACTACTGAGTCCAGTGGGTAGACGAAGAAAATCCCTCACTAGCGAGTGGTTCAACAAAACCAGTTGTACGTGGCCAAGTACGTCAAGATGGCGTAGTCAAAGCCCCCTGGGTATTTCGCGACAGTACAATTACTCGAGTATTCCCTCAGACAAATACACATTAGCGTCCAATTATTTTAACAAGCGTGATGGCTGCATTAATTCACTATCATCACGCAATAATTCACATTGTGATACTTATAATGCGAATATGTTTAAGACTGGGAATGAACAAAGGGCCGTAACTAAGCCAGTGGAGACAAAGGTCACAGATAAATTGCCAACGCTGATGTGCCCCAGCGCAGGCGTCACAAATGAGGGTCTGAGGTCGTCCTCCTTCATCGGGATGATAGATCGTAAGGGAGTTTACGAGCAAGAAACTAACTTTTCGGATGACAGCCTGGACCCAAAGGACGAGAGAGTGAGACGTGCCACTGGTCATATAAAAACCAATTCTATCGTAAAGAATGAGACAGAGGATAACGTGAATGATAATCCATGTCCTCCGGACGTTGTTGCACATACAAAAAAGGATGGTACTGATTCACTGCTATACCCGGAGGATATTGCTGATTTCGATGATACGGATATTCAACTGCCGAGAACAAAAGTCAGTGTTTTATCCAACGATTTACCACCACCAGTTCAGCAATTTAAATCAATGATACTGGGTGTACCAATCGTACCATTATTATTAAATACACAACACGATACTCGCGATAATGAAAGACTATTGTCGCATAAATCATCAGGTGATAAAAAACGGGTGTCCTTCGGGGATGCCAATATCATCATTGAACCAGTGACATCACCATTACGTAATTATAGGTTTGCTGAATCATCGGGCTCGATCATGAAATTGAATAGTCCCGAGTCGACAGAGAATAAAATCACCTGGAAACAGTCCCTCCAATCCAATTGCCCAGCGAAATTGAGTGCTCGAAATAAAGCGGACACTGACAAATCAAAAAAATCGACAAATATCATTGAGGAGTGCCTCGACGAGGCCCTTGTCTTCATGCGAAACATAAATTCAATCAACAAGTACATTAGCCCCGGCGATGAGGTGGATGAAAAGCACCAGCTCGATAGAAATTCAACGACGAGGGATGAGAAACTTGAAGTAAGTGCGTGCAGTCCTTACGAAAAATGTCTGAGGAGTATGGAGAGGCTTGAGCAATGTCTCAGCAGAGTCAAGTGTCAGGACGATGCCCTTCAGAGAGAGTACCGCAGTAAAAGAGAGTCTGCTGAAGCTAAACACGATTTAGCTGAATTCAGTCAGGACTCTGGAAAATCTATGAATTCAATGGACGATCTCAGTGTTAAATACAACAACAGTTACAGTGTTGATAGGTACTTTCACAGATGTGTTGATGACACGGATGAAGACAATGAGAGTGCTAATTTTGATCTGAAAACACTGAGTAGATATCGAAGGATCATTGATACCAGTAGAGTTAATCATAAACCAAAGAAGCGTAGTCACTCGTTGTCATCCGCCAGATTGAGTGATTGCGAACTAGATAATTCAAATATTTATCCAAAATTAATTGGCGAAATTGATGAGGAGGCGCTGATTGCTAGGGTAAAGAAATCCCTGCCATCACCGAGATGTACAATCTCAAAGTACGATTCGTCTGATGAAAGTTCAAGCTCTGACGAGGCGCTCGCTGCATTTATGGAGTCTATCGATAAGGTTTCACGATCGAAAGACAAATTTAAATATCCAGCGAGTCCGCGAGTCAAGTTTCTCCAATTACTCAGCGAAAGACGGAGAATTGTTGAGAACAGTCGAAGCACTGGCGCATCTTAATTAATGTTATTATCGATAAGTGAGTGTACGATTGTTTTATTCTCTTCACCTTCTCCCCCTTTGAATCAATTGAATATTCAATATTGACGGAGAAAGGGTATTAATTTTTTACATAGGAAAATAATAATTCTACCGTGAATTTCATAGTGAATCCGTGACCTGCATCAGTCTTCGGAAATGAATTGTATTTTTGTATTCAATCAGAAACTAAACCAAAGAAACTACGACGCGTTACCGATAAATCATATAAATCGTTAATCATTTAAATGTATAACAGTTAAAAAATATATCAACTAATCCACAATGTGTACATAAAATAAAGTCAATATCTCTGCAGCAATGTTTCACTGTTCCTCGTAAACCAAAACTGCCTATAATGGAATAATAGAATCACTCGTGCTTTTGACGTTGAGTGATATCCGTTGATTTGCTCCTTGTCAGATCTATAATTAAAAGCAAATCCCTCCCCCACACCCCGTCGATGGGTGGGGCTCGGTAAATCCGGGCAAACCGCACTTGAACCTGAATAACCGCTCCAACAATTGACTAAGGGGCCTCTTCACCAGAAGAATAAAAAGAGAGAGAGAGAGAGACAGAGAGAGGGAGAGGGAGAGGGAGAAAAAAAGTGAAGCCGTAAAAATAGGTGTAAATTTAATAAACCCGGAGGTTTTTTACGTCCCCTCTATATAAAGAAAGACGATTCTTTATAACGTGAGCCTATCGCCTGGATTTTTCTCTCATGACTCTTATTTACGGATTAGAGTCACGTACATCTCCTCTTCCACCATATCCGAGTGATCCAGCACATCGCACCCTTATACCCTTTACAACCACACCCTTGGCACATTCGGCACCCTTCGCCACCCCGCCCAGTATCTTCAACCCTCGCTGCCGGCATTTCCCCTACATTTATACAACATAGGTATGGATCCCACAGGTATGTTGGCACGGTCGCTTGGCTGCCACCGTATCTCCAATGCTCCCCCAGGGCCGGCATCTCTCTGTAGACCTTTAACTTTTTCCGGTAATCGGGTCGCGTCTCACTGCTCTCCAAGTATCGCTGTAAAAAATCGTATTTAGTGGGGAATAGTTACAGCAACTTTCAGCAAATCTTCAGCCTCGGGGATCGTTCTATTGGTCAGGCTCAAATTAATGGACAAACTTCTATTTCGTCGACATGATCTAATTACAACGGGGAAAAAAATTACTCCGGTCGAGGATTCATTTACTCGATTTATTTATTATTATTGTGTTATTATTATTATTATTGTCATTATTATTACTTTATTTGCAAGTGGAAAATTTTATCTTTATACTCTCAAAATCAGATTTTATTGTCGCAATTTGGTAAATGAAAGGCCAAAATGGCTGACATGGTTTTGTTGTATTCCTAGAATTGATGATTCGTGCTTATTTCGCCATTGGAATTGATGTACTGTATATTTGTTATATACTGCGGGAAAGAGGGTGTTTCATTTTTATGTAATTGTCATTCCCCTCCGAGATCTAATCACCAACATGTCATAAGGTGTGACCTTTCATTTTATCCTAAAATTGGAATTGTTCATACAGTTTTGTGGTCGTAATTAATATCCCCGTTAAACCAAATGAACGCAATAAAATCTAGGGGATTCTGGTGATAATTATCTGGAGGACTTAGTCGAAATTTTTTGGAAAGAAATAATTTGGAGGAATGAATAGTTATCTCAAGTAAATTGATCCTTGAATTTTTTTTTCTCGGTAACACTGACAACGTTTTCTTTATCTGACGAATAAAACCGTTATCACCTGCTCTGACGGCTTATGATTGCAGATCAGAGGTGGATCCCTGAAATTTTCTCTCCGATTCTTTCGGAGAAATCCGGGAACAGCGAGTGTTTACTGGAGGTGAATGGGAATTGAAGATTGAATTGGAAATTTTGGTTTGCTTTTCCTTTCACAAGTCGAGTGCAGTACGAAAGGGCCATTTACGATCGATACAGAACTCGTTTCTGTGTGTCAACAAATTATCGGTGAAATGACAATAGCTGTTACGGAAACACGTGAATTTGAAAATGTCTGCTTCATTTCAAAGTCGATATCGAGAAAATGAAACATACTCTCCTTTGTTCTCGGTGAAAATGTCTTCAAATTAGAGGGAAAGCGAAATTTTGCAACGAATCTGATAACAATTCTCGTGATTTTGAATTGAATTGTCAATAAGAAGTGAATTGCTATTTTTTCACATTTTATGTGCTCTATATCCGTCGCTCATATCTCCCCGTGAAAGTTGCAATATTCAAGATATATTTCCTACATAAAAGAAGTACCTCACACGTGGCGTATCCATCATAAAAAAATTCCCGTGCAATTGACATAATTACGACAATAATTTGCCATATAATTCAAAATTCAGATTCAGGAAATTATTTCGCGAAATTCAATCCATTGATAATTAAATTGGATTTGATCTTTTGAAACCTCAAAAATCATTACAAACGAAAGACATTTCTCTTACTTTTATTTTTGAACACCTGATTTTTCCATTGTTAATTGAAAATTAATTGAAATTAGAACTTGAAAATTTAGTCGACAGTGCGACAGGAATTGCAATCAATTAGCAAATTGATTTTTTATAATGGAAAGATCAAAATAGCTGAAAAAATACTAATTAACCTCATTAAAATAATTATTCGTAACGAACCAATACAAGATCCTTCTCCTGAAAATACATTAATAAAAAATTTTTCAGCTTGAATAAAAAAAGCACTGTTGATAACTGAACTCAATGCATTCGCTATGTACTTTAATTACCACCAAAAAACGCTCGATGGAGAATATATTAAACATATACATCCTCACAGATTGGATTTATCGATTTTTTTTTTTGTGTACCCCGATATGACAACAGCCGCGTTCCAAGCGTCGATAGTAAATTTTCTAAAAATGCATGCACCTTGAATTTTGAAATGTGACGCACATGGAAATAAGAGGGGAGTGATCTCGGAGTAGAAATTTCGCATCCTCGATGGGCGATATTATCCGAATTCAGTGTACTTTGGCTGTACGTGCATACAAGAGTGGTCGTATAACCGGGTATAGTACGTGGACTGGGTCCAACCCACGGATAAAACAGAAAATGGCTCGTGAATACGTATTCCGTCGAATGCTCGAAGCGTTAGGTATACCGAAGCCCATTGAATTCCCGTATACCTGTATACAAGAGTATATATGTGCCATCAAATCACACGCTTTAGCCGTTCACCTCCGCGTGTGGCATTTGGGGTACGTATGTAACGTATAACTGCCTAGAACTGTCGGTACGGTTATGCCAATATGATTGGGTTTTTGCGTAAACCCATGGGTTGTTCCATAAACTCACACTTTACGAGTCTGATTACGACCCTCTTCACTCCACCCCTCAAAGCCCCTTTCAAATCTCAATATGAATACACATATGCACGTGCTCCATACGCCTGAGATGCTCGTAAATGAATTGTATAGCCATATCCCCAGATGCAACTTTTTTTTTTTTTTTTTATTCTTCCCAACAATTTTTCAGTGTCATTCTAGCTCACGGCACTTCTACGGGGGAGATACTCCGGAGGCCGTAAAATATTTTAGATTTTTTATCGCCAATAAACTCTGCTCAAATCGATACCGGAGAGAGAGACACTAGAGAGAGAAAAAAAAACCCACTTTCAAATAGTTTTTGTGGCATTCGAAATATCGTTTCCCTTTATTACCCCCTCATGTCGCATATGGGGTAATTCACCTCTGTACTGTACGGTTTTTGCGCTCTTTTTCATTATTGTCCACTCTTTTCCACTCTTTTGCACTCTTTTGCACTCTTTTGCACTCTTTTGCACTCGCAATTATTATCACGCATTTATCAAAAGCTACTGTTATCCTTGGATATTTTTTTTTGGGGGAGGAGACCACTTCTGAGTCTTTTTAAGCTTTCAGGCTATTTTTTAGTTGACCCTCTTCTTATTTTGGCGTCATACCGAGACCTCCCACTCCTCTCTGCAGTTTTACCTCAGTTTCTTACAGCAGCTACCTCCCCTGCCTCCCCTCCACCCTTGCGGTTTTGTCGTCTTCCGGTGGGCTGAAGGGGTGGAAAAAAAAAATGAAAGAAAAAAAGGGAAAAATGGGTAAAAAGTGCTGAAAGCGCACGTGGCTCCCAGATCCGTGCAGTATAGAGGGAAAATAAAGAAAGAAGAAGATAAATCTCTGCGGACGTTTATGATGACGATAAAATGAAACATCGTCCAGCCATTTTGAAAGACTGAAATTGTTTCTGGAATAGCGACGGTTTACTCTGTTTTTTTTTTTTACTCCGGTGGTGGCTGTCACTGTTTCAATTCCGCTGGTTTTTCATCGTTTCTTAATCCTTCAATTTATTAATTTCTGTCTTTTATTATTTCTCCTCTCTGTTGGATGATACAGAATTTTTCTGTTTTAACATTTCCAGTTTTTATCTCAGAAAAGTCATAGAATTGTTTTTCGCGAGACAATAATAGAGTCCGAATGAAAATTTATTAACAATAATTTCACGGGGAAAATGTGCGGGAAATATATGTGTGTTCATATATATTTGGCATATATGTGTGTATAATTGATATATGTTGTGATGAATATGGTGGGATGTAGGGAATATTGTTGAAAAATATGATACGATTTCAGGTACATATGTGGTATATAACAGATTAAAAATGCAATTACCAGTTGTTTTATTGGGGATTTGAGGAAATTTGGGGCTCGAGTCCTCAGGGAAATTAAGAATAGATGAATTTAGAACGGATGAACGGGCAATGTCGATGATTTATTCAACAAGTTGTTTGAAAATTTAGCAAAGTATCGAATTGACGAAATTTAATCGCCTGTGGCGTCGGTGGGGTGAGAACTTTCCGCTGGCCTTTCTCGAATGACGGCTATTGTTACTAACTTGTCTAATTAATACTTCGCTACAGGTCTTGGGAGAAACTCGAAGAAGAGTGGTTTAATAAAACATAATCAAGAGGAGTGAAACGAAACAATGGCTGCGATAAGGGAAAATAAAATTTACGCTTCTACATCTGCTCTGGGGATTTATCGAGGCTGTTCTAGATAATGGAATGTAAGTTTAAGGAAAAGAGTGATGGAAGGGTGTAAAGACGAGCTCAATTACATTGTTCGAGGTGCAATGGAACAAACAATGAGGTGTGAAGATAATTATCGTGATGGTTTGATGATATTTTTTATGCTTCAAGTACTGCAGTTGTTAAATTTTTTACAAGCACCTTGGAAATGGTAACGATATTTGTGCCAGTTACTTCCCCTGAGAAAAAGTCATTCCAAATTGTCCGAAGTTTGTTTAATTTTCACAGCAACCACTGCAACCTAATAACGAATGCTGTAGCACGGAAAAACAACAGATTCAAGAGTTTCTTTATCGGTGGTAATCTTAACTATTATTCACTTTTAATATTTATCAGATTGCAGGATTTTACTTGAATTTCTTTAAATAATGAAAATGATTTCATCGGATATTCGGAGAAATTATCATGATTTCTGTGTAATTACTTCGAGCGGATAAATGTTACGTGAATTGACAGTAATAAAAAATTAAAAAGCTTCAACAATTTGTTGCTTATTAGAATGAGGAAAAATAGGGGGAAATTGGGGATTATGGGGGAAAATGAATAGTAAATTTTAAATTTATGTATATTTTGGGATTATAACGCATTTAATAGTGGATGAAATGACTTTGAGGGTGCGTTATATGAAAAGTTGTGGCGCGTGCGGTGCGAGGGCAGTTACAACCATCCGGTACCTACTTATTATACTATATATGAGTTTGGCTGGAATAATGCACGTCAGGCCTTAATCCAGCTGGGATTCACCAGCCACGTGACAGACATACATTTGCCAAATTGCAAATGATGCTAATGGAAAGATTGGGATGAAATTGGGGCCACTGCACTGGAAAGTCACATGAGAAAGTTGCCGAAGCAGATACCAACAATTTCCACGGGTCAAACAACTCGGCATCCTAACTCCGATCATTGGTGTACGTGACAGCATCCGCGCACTTTCCATATGGATTTACCCATCGACCTAACGCCGTCTCAAATGCCTTATGTCGGGGGTTGCAAGTGTCTGGAACATGTCACTTTGCAGGGGGTGTTAATTATATTCCAGTTGGAATTTTCTTTATGTCAAACTTGAGTTGAATTTTTTTTTTTTCCCATTGGTGCTTTGGACTCTGAGTCAAAGTGGCGAACAATTTGTTGTCAAATTATAGCTCAAAGATCCGAATATAAAGAGGAGAAACGGAATTGATCTCGAAATATCTCGAAATATCTCGAAACATCTCGAAATATCTCTAAATATCTCGAATGAGCGTGAGGCAAGATCCGTAAGACTTTTCCCGGAAAGATGGGGAAAACCTCATCTTTCGCTCAAACTTTCGCAAATATCGACTTAAATTCCTGTTAATTCAATAGACCAAACAATGCTCATCCGCGATTTTCACAGGATAACATCTTCTGCGTGTACGAATACGTGTGGAAAGCCGAGTCATTGGTTGGTGGTGTGAGGATGAGGCAGGGATATAAATTAACGTCTATGAATTCCGGTTGGTTGGGTTTTCCCGCACGAGCGAAAATACACACACCGTACTCAAACCTCGCCTGGCCAAAGGGAAGGATTAATACCAAACGGGTTAAAGGGTGCAAACCTGAGGATTGCACTATCATTCCACAATATCTCTGGATGCATCGTGGAAAAGTCGTCGGAAGATGATGCACGATGTTCGCTGGTGTGACAGTTGCATCCGGTGTTGGCGAAGTTGCTGTCTCGTAATTTTGGCTCGAGTCTAGGGTCCCCCCTTAATTCCACCCACAACCCAATACTTTTTCATGATATGTCGGTAATAATACTTGCCCAGAGACGCATGCATATATTTTAATGCACTGGGGTATTTCAAATTTTCAAGGGTTTTCCCATGATTTTACATTTTATTTGAATTTATCGTTGACTCCTGCGATGTTTTTAGTGATAAAAAATATTTTATGCACGTGGAGAAGGAAGACTGTTGTTTATTCAAGTGTCCGCGAGATCTTGGGTAAAATTATTGAGATCGTAAGCTTTCGAAATTATGAGCTGTTCTTTTTCATTTTTTATTTATGACAGAAAGGAATTTTTACATATTATCAAAAATCTCGGATAGAAAAGCATTTTAATCGCTGGAGCGAGTCCCTTAATTTATTTAGACATTCATTAATTCAAATTCTGATATGCAATATTGAATCTCCAAAAATGTGACATTGAATAGTTTAATGTAGAGATGAATTTCGAAATTAAGTGGGTGATATAAATAAATTTAGTGATTAGTAGATTTGAAAAACAATTGAAATGAATATCTTACCGCGTAGTCAATCCTAATTACACTTACCTTAAGCAAAGATTCGAGGAATACTACACCGATAATAATCCCAAGAACGAAGGCCTTGGGGGCAGTAATAATAACATCTCATTAACTTGAGTTCCATAAAATCCCTCTTTTCCAATAAAAAAAACACAAGCTTCCGGCGTGTGCAAGAAGACCTGCCTTTGCAATTGTGCGCAGGAAAATTATCAACAAATCATTTTTTCCATAACAATTCCCCTCTCCGCATCGGTGATTCTGAAAAAAAAGAGACTGTCCTTGAATAATTTTAATACATCATTCCAATAACTACAATCCCCTACACTGTTACAAATTTCTGGAAATTTCCGTTAAATCGTCATTAAAAAATTCAAAAAAGTGTAAGTTTCAAAAAATGTGCGCAGGAAAATATAAAGTAAAAATTCTGATTCAATTCAGAAAATCTGCAATAGAATTGACGCGGGGAATAAGGAAATTAGGGAATTAAGAGATTTGAAAGAAACGAGTGAATTGCTTTTATGATCTCAATTACCGGGAGAATGATGGAATGATTCGCAGGTTTTTAATTGAATGTTTCTGAGTATTCAGTTATTATATATGCAAATTATCTGAATATGGGGGCATAATTATCCTGAATAATTCAACGATTGTCACTTCTGATGTTACAACTCCATCCTTCGATGTACTCTATCCTATTGTACTCCTGATGTGGCCACAATTTGCCTTCACATGACAATTGCGTGCGCTCCATCCGGCTTCAGACTCCACAATGAATACGATTATCTGGATAAGCTGTGATTAATGCTACCGACGGTATCAGGGACACAAACTATGTCAGAATTATGAACCCCAGCTGGACACCAGTGTATCGCTGATACTCGAGTCATGAAGATGTATATGACAATAGTTTTTCTCGTTGCATCCACTGTCCTAGTGCAGGTGTGTTTATAAATTCATATCACTCTGCTTAATTTTATTTATTACTCCTGTTGTTAATAAAATTCATTATTCTCACTTTGTAAATCCATTTGGGGCTCGTTGTCAGTTTGACTTCAATAACTCGATTAACCAACCCAGGTTGAGTTGTACTGAGAGAAAAATAACTGAAATGCCCAGTAAATGATAATTTATTATTTTTATTCCATAATCGGTATCATAGATCATTATTTGAGTTTATTAATCATGAAGATTACGTTGGAAATTATTTAGATATAATTGACGGAGGAATTATTGGAGTAAGAATTTTGTTTGTGGAATAATGGATGACAAGTGATTTTGCAAGAGTATTTTTTGAGCACTTGAGTTGGTGAAGTATTGAATTTAAAATAGTGTTGGATGCATAGGGGATTCCCGTGCCGGATAAGACCTTCCAGGAAAGGGCTCAGGAGGCTTTGGATAGTGTGAAGGAAAAAGCAGGAGAAGCCTGGGACTACGCTCAGGATGTGGCAAATAGAGCTGTGGAGTCAGCAAAGTCAACGGTTCAGGAGGCATTGGGAACAGCTCAGGAGACTTCCAAACAGGGACTTGCCAATGGACAAGACTTGGTCGAGCAAGCCAAACATTATATGCAGAATATCACGATGGGTTCCATATTCGATGATATATACCCTTGATAATTTATCACTGAATTTCGCGATAATTTCGATGGGAACAGAAAGATTTGAATTTGTTTCTTAATTCTTGGAATTCCAATGAAATTCGTTGAATTCTAAGATTTTTTTTGGAAAAGTGTAACGATGGTACCGATTGTAATTAAATTATTTTTCTCATAGTTTTATGATCAGCTGTTGTTGAAATTGTCTTTTCATACAAGTAAGTAAAGAATGACAGATTTTCAAAAGACTTGCAGCATTTTTTTTTAAAAACGAAGTAGTTTGCAAGTGAAAAAAATATAAAAAGTCGAAATAAATTGATAAATCCGATAATTCCTCAATCTATTCGAATTTTCCACGAATCGTGAGTGATTCCCGTATTTAGCCTGTCCAAAAAATGTGAGAATTGTCGAATTTGGGCGCTATAGCAGCCTCTCTAAAACCTCGTCGGCAATGATTCTTCCCACAAAAATAAAAACGAACGAAAAATGGAATTTGAATTGTACCCCAGCGTTTCAGCCAGCGCCCCATATCAAAGGGCTGTAAAATATAATTGGCGCAATTAAGCGTATAGTGACCCTCTTGTAGATTAAAGAGTCCGTGTAATATGGACAGGTGTACATGATGTGAGCAAAAGTCTCTCGACGACAAATTTCTCGGGGGTTTGGGTGAGGGTGTGGAAGGGTGTGTACTTGAAGCCGGTGGCTATTAAGTCTGGGGTTGAGAAGGGACGTAGACGCGACACCGGCTCCAGTGGTATGAGGGACTTGTGCGCAAGTTGAAGCCATGGGGTAAAAAGCCCTTCGAAATATACCTATATAGGTGTTTCGTTTGCTAGGTAACTGTGGTATGGGCTTGTGCCTGCAAAGCGCAGTCTCGTTAAAAATGTACGCGTGACAAGCTCCTTTACTGGGCGCGATTCAAGCGCGTGCACTGCTTTATACTTGAAACTCGTTAGTAATTGAATACCGCAGCAGGTCTCCAGTGTATGTAGGTGTGCGCCCGAGACAATATCCCTGTGTCGCTAACCCATGCAAAATGAAACGTGATACATTTCATTTTTTTCATCCCTTTTTCTCCCTCTGCAACTTAAAAAAAAAATATTCAAAAAAAGTAACTCGTCTTTTGTACTCGGGGTGGAATTGTTGGGATTCTGCCCATTTGTTGGAGCATTTAACGTAATAATACGTGGTTAGCTTTTTCTTACCAAAATAAATCATTTTCACCGCGGATACTACTAGAGATTTCCCGGAAAATCGGGGACTTGATCACGGTTTTGCGTTTTTTAAAAATAATGGTAAAACTCAGAGAAATAGCGAAATTGTTATTAAAATCACATTTTCAGAGTGAATTGAGAGCCTCAAATAGGTCTTCACAAAAATTTCCCTATCTCGCTCGAGTCCTGAGATAGTCCTCGACTCCTCGAGAACTCACCCTTTCGCACTTTGCCCCTGATATATTCCTCAAAATAGATTTTCCCTTGGTGTCACTGTGTCTCCGACGGAGAAGACGAATTGGCCCTTTGTCTTCCATCTTTTGCTCTATTTCCACCAAGAATTCCAGTAAGAACCGAAGCTATCGATCAGTTTCACTCCGATTTTTACGTAATTTCCACTTCAATTTGTCCCTCACGTATCTGCGATCTCCCCTTTGTTTCCACTCCTATTTTATTTCTCAACCCGAAGAACAACAAGTCCATCACAACGGGAATAGTAAAAAAAAAAAGTGGTAGAGACAACGCCTATTTTAAAAACGCAATCACTCACGATATTACTGTCTAGGAATAGGTGTATTTTATGGGAGTAAAAAAGGATGAACGGCGTGGGTTAGGATTCATAATTTTATGGCAATTTTCCAGAGTCATATATTTTTCGATGAGTCACGATATATATCAGTCTCGGTGTAAGCCCGGAACGGGAAACCGTCAATCGTATGGGCGAGGTACTAACATATTGCTGGGTACCTATATACCTGCGAGCTATCGCATGAATAAAAAAATCGTAAATAATCGAACGGCTTCATCTGTAATTTCTCCAGAGGACCGTCGATACGTTGATCTTTCATATCTTCATGGGAGAATGAAATAATCCTTTCCTTCAGATATTTTTTGAAATACCTATAAGCTTATTACCAACACAGGAGTAAACTCTTTGAAGACTGACAAATTATTCCACTTCGTAAACAGCTCGAAGAGTTTTAAATATCCGAAACAGAATATAAAGAGGGAATTTAAGAGTTCCCTTTGATTGCAGAAATTCTCCGTTGAAATGTTCTCACTTCTTTTTTCCGTTTCGGAGTCGATTCAGATACAATTTTCCGTTTTCAAGTTGATTTAGGGGAAAATGCGTTTTTAATTTTTAGTAGTACAATTTTTTTTTTTAAACAATCCGGCATTCCCTTTCCTTCTGCAACAAAATCAAATTTGAGGTTTTTAAATCTAAAGAAGCAATAGAAATATAGAGAACACTGGAGGATAAGTCATGAAGCTCAAAATAATTAGTTAATGGTCAGAAATTTATTTAGCGCGCGTCGTATCGGCTCTAACTTCAAGCGTTTCATTGACCAATCAGAATCGAGAATTACTGCGCAGGCAATTTCAAGTGATTCCACTCTGAAGCAACTTCACATTCTACATCATCTTTTACGGACGGTATTTTTTTAGAGTACTCGTGCAATCACGGAGTTATTCGAATACATTCCACGGAGTTTTTATTTCTCTGAGTTTGATGGTTATGTGTCGTTCGATTGAGAGACATTTTGATAGCACAGCAACGAGAATAAACACGTGGGTGTGGACTCTCGCTGGTGTTATAAAGCCAGTAACGTATTTGTGGGTGGGATCTATAATTCATGTAATCAATTGGTCGGAGGCTGGGGACTGTAACTTTAACCGGAAAATACGCTTTTACGAGTGTCGAGAACCACTGGAGTTTCATTCAGAAAGGGAATGTCTGCGGCAAGTGGTAGGATACTGTGTAATTGAAACGTTAATCCGTGTGCCAATGAATTAATTCCACTTCACAGGTCAAATGTGGAATATTGCCGGTAAAAATGAAAATTTATGTAAAAACTCAAGAACAATATCTGTTTAATCTCATGTTATTTTTCAAATTATGAAAAATGAATTCATACCGGAGTGGAAATTTTTTCGTGGATAGTATGAAAAGTTTAATGAATGGGTGAGCTCGAATATTCGACTTCATTTTGGTAATTCGTCGACGGAATGGTGACGGATGAGTATTTTATGTGACCTGAATGTGAATGAGAGCTTTTAATCCGCAGTAATCTAATTGTAATCATGTGTTAATCGAATTTAATATTCGAAAAACATTGGATAGTGAAAATGTCACAACTGCTCTTTTCGTTTTTAGTATTACATCCAAGCTTTCGATTTCCTCTCATTTTTCTATTTTTTATTGACAAGAAGAACAGAATGAATTGATTTTTTGAGAGATCGAATAAAAATACAAAAATGGAAATGGAGGAATGTTATCAAATATTCAACTCCATTTTGTATATTCGTTGATGAAAAAGTGATGAATGAAATTTGGGTGTTCCCGGAAAGTGTACAGAACCTTTTAATCCATAAAACAAAAAAAAAGGTGAAACGATTTAAAGTATGAAAAAACAATGAAGAAACAGCTTTTATTGTAAAAAAAGAGGAGCTTTAAATTTTAATGAGAGAATTCACCTCCCACCTCCTCAACTCCTGACATTTTTATTCTTTTTGCAAGAAGAAAAACAATGAATTTAACACCGAAAAATGTAAATGGACGACTGCATTCAAATGGTCAACTCCACTTTGCAAATTCGTTCATAAAAAAATGATGAATGAGACTTCGAAGTCACCGGAAAGTGAATAAAACCTTTTAATCCATAACAATCCAGGTGTAATCGTTGGCTAACCCAATTGTATAATTAAAAAAAAAATAATGTATGAAAAAACAATGAAGAGATTGCTTTTTTTTTGCAAAAAAAGAGGAACTTTATGCTTTTAATATGAGAATGGATCTCATTCTGAATGCCAACGAGCTCAAGCGCGAAATGCCTATTGACGAAAAAATTCAGTATTTGGAAAAAATAAATGCAAATTCAAAAATAAATGGCATCGACTGGTGCATTGCAGTGGTTGACTAGACGGATAATCAATATACACAAGGCGTCAACTATACGACGATGCGCGACGTGAATTTACAATAGTTTATGGCACTGGGCTTTTCTGTCAGTTTTGCGTAATTGACCTATTTTGGAGGGGATGCTGATGATATTGATGAGTGATGAGGAGCCTCCAGGGCACGTAGCCAGGGAAATCAGCTGATGACTGTACCATCTTTCCTGAATATTTCAGGCGGCGACAGGAAATGGAAAATCGACGGAATGCGCTGACATTTCAATAGTTTCGACGTCGATACCTCTTTTAATGGACGGCATTCAAATCACTTGGGGCTATTTTGAGGTTTCAATCGAGCGATCGAGACAAAGTTTCTGCAGGCAGATTGAATAAGTACAAAAATTACCTCGAACGTTAGGTTGTTAGGAAAATTAGGTCGTTAGGAAATTAGGGAAAGAAATTGTTTAGTTTTCTTGCGTAATAGGAAGAATTAGGAGATATGATCGAAATAATTATCTGAGACATGGAAATACGAATGTATTCGAATGAAATTCGAATTCATATTCATATTTTTCTATGAAAAAATTATGAATAAAAAATATTTCATCACGCATGGTAATGAAAATGAATTTACATAGGAAACGGTGTAAATTGTTTGCCTAAAAAATGATTCTTGGCAGAGATTTCATCTAAATAATCTGAGGATTTATGTAGAAGAATCTTGAAAATCCCGTCATCCGAAAATCCCCAGTAAAACTTTTTCCGGAGTGATTACCCCTTAAATTCCCGAAAATGTCCTGTGGAAAAAAAAAATTAACCCGGAGAAAGGCGTGAAAATTCTCATCCCTCAATTCGGCAATAAATCTTATCCCCCCACTACATATAAAATCCGTCTATTTGAAATACGTGGGCTTATTCAGAAAAGTAAGAGAGAACAGGGAACGAAAAAGTTGGCAAAGTCTTTTGGGGAAACACAGGGAAGACTGTTATATTCAACGGTTTTAGGGCTGTTGGGGGTGGTGCGGGGAGGAGGCAATGTTGGATGTGATGAGGAGGCGAGGAAAGAAAGAAAAGTTGAAAAAGGGAGTCTTCGGGGTCTTCCACATCCCTCTCAACCCCCCAACCCCGTCCAAACTCTGTTCCAACCCCTCACCCACCCCTCACCAACCCCTCACCAACCCCTCACCATCCCCTCACCAACCCCTTCCTCTCTTACACTCTAAAAGCGATTCTCGTCTAGCCATTTTCCTACTATCTACTCTTACTATATGGTTATCTGCAGTAGGTGTACATGGCTTTGCACCATCTCTCTCAGTGTCTCTCTCTCGAGAGCGACTTAATCCCCGGGTATTCAGCCTGAGAGGAAACGACGATAAAGAGATAGATTGTGTTTGGTCGACTGGTGACTCGGCCGTGTAATGGTGCACTGGGTCCCTCATCATCATAAACGTTAGTTTGGGTTTGCATCAGCAAACGCAAACCCATGGAGAAAATGTCGTCGGGGAATGGCACAATGCGACAATCCTTTTGGAATCCTTTTTTTTTTTTTTTTTCACCATCTCCCTAAGAAAACAACACGAATGTATGTAGCGTTAGCGCACATGTATGCATAATGCATAGGTAATATGATTGCATGATTTTAAACTACAAAGTTGAGAAATTGCGATTTGTGGTGGCTCTACCTCCGGGATTATGAAATTTTCACGTTGTAATTTACCTGGAATTTTTAATTTCACAAAATTTGCCGACAATTTTACACTGGGTCGAGACGAATTCAAGCGGCATTGTTCTCTGCGTCAGCTTTGTACTGCATGAGAGAGGGGGAAAAAAGAGAATTTGCATGAAAATATACCTGGGGGTAACCTACCTACATGTCTCGAGTGTTACGAGAGTCAGGATGATGGTAATATCTCATTCAGTGTCGTGAGACGATGCAGAAGGATGGGGGACTGATTGTGGAGAAAGAGTTCGCCGCTCTATTTATGGTAAAAGCACATCCGCTTGGAATTATTAATTCAGAACTGGAGATTGAGGGTGAGGTATTCTAGGGGCTTCGTTATTTTGGAATCAGGAGGAACAATGGACCCGATGAGAGAAAATCAGGCGATTCCGACGGGAATATGATATCAACGTTCAATATCAATTTATTAGCAAAAAAAATTGATAACAATGGTGAAATGTCAAGAAATATTACATACATACATATTCCCTAGAAATTTTTATGCAATTATTCAGTTAGTACTCACAAATCCCATTCTTTCTGCACGAAATTTCCAATTGGAAAAATAAGAAAATTATATTCAAGGTTCACAAACAACCGCGAAAATCGCCATTCGCTCTGAAAAAATTTGGTGATTCAATTGAAAAATTACGTAATAGTATTAACAGTAAATAGTATTGCAGCGAAAACGGTGGAATTGATTTATTGAAGGGGACTGTCCTCAATTGGATAAAAAAAGGCAGTTTTTCCGCGAGTTCTCTTTCAAGTGAGAAATTAAAAATATTATTTTACGTGACGTTAATTATTGTATGAGTTATTACGGCGGAACAATAAGGGATGAGGGAGAGAGGGGGTTGGGATAGAGTAGTAGTGCGCTTTTGGAAAGTGGAAAATGCCAGTTCGGTGAGAGTAAATTCAGTCTGGCTTGTGAGGGACTAAAGATCGTCGGTGTAATCACATTAGCGGATCCATTAGCGAGTGACTGGCGCCAAAACTCAACTCGCTTTTGATTGTCTGTGCGTTTCAGTGTCGTAAGGGGGACCTCTTGCCGCTCCAGAGTAAAGAGAGGCATCAAGGGTTTGAGGGGAGGCTTTGAGGGAGAACAAATTTACCAGTGGATCATACCCTATTTCAAATAGAACTAATGACAATTCACTCAGCCCTGAGACGCTCGGTGTTTAAATATTTTTACATTTAATAACCGTGAAAGACTCGAGTTGAGGGAAAAATTACTGGAGAATGTGCAAGTACAAAATTCCTATGGAGTTAACGAAATGAGGAGTCTCTTCGAGAGGTGAGTTATTATAAATATGAGGCTGTAAAATCACTGGACAAGGGGCGAGGGGCGTGGGAAATGAGTTAGTGGAATTGGAGAGGTAAATAATGAGTCGGGGAATTAAAAAGTTTTATGTATTGGAAGTTATTGGCTCCGGGGAGAAAAATTATTTCAAAGTTCCTGGGGAATTGGACGGATGGAGACGACGATGTTGAGGTGAGTTGTCGCTTGGTTCGACGATTTTTAGAGTAATTGGGGAGAGGAATCACATAAATTGCACAATTGTGCAGATCTGGTGAGAATATGCCTTAAAAATTTTAGATTATTTTTTTAATTTGTTTTCCTTTTATTTTTTATACTTCTCCTATCTTCAATACATTTTTTATGTCACATTTTGATGAGAGATTATTTTGTTATTTAAATGAAATTAATCATAAATTTCATTATCCTTGCAAATACTCAGGTATATAATTTCTAATTGTACATGAACGGTTCTAGGAGTTATTCCTCCAAACAAAAATTCCCAGGACGAAATTCCCTCATGAAAAATCCCGTGAAAAAACATCTCCCGTACAAAATTTCCCAACCAATGACTACAGCTACTGCAATGACGTAAAATGAAGAGGAAATGAGAATTATATTGGATTCAATTGTATGGCCGAGGTATCTTTGAAAAATGACGATTTAAAATAATAATGAGGGAACTTCAAAGAGAATAAAAGAGCATGAGGTAGGGTTTTATTAGGAGAATTTGCGGGTATTTTGCGTCGAATTCTGCCACTTAATAATAACAAATTGAGGCGATTTGAAGTAACCCCTGGAGGAAAGTAAGAATTCACATGAAATGTTCAGCTGACTAGATTGAGAGGCCTTTGGCGCTGACAAGGTGGAGGAAAGAGGACTCGTTGGACTCGTTGGAGATATGCTCAGTATATACTGGATGCGGATGCGCTCGGTTGGCTTATAGGTACTCGGAACCCGCAGGGTATTATTAGGATCAGACCCCAACGTAATGACTTAATACCACGCAACTGTGTTGGTTGTTTCGATGGGGCCCATGTGCGTGTTTCTTGCTACCTCTTCCAGACCGTGAAACGACATACAGCGGTGAAAATCCACGCCAAAAGGCAAAAAAACAATAGCCTGAAAAAGAAAGGAAAAAGCAAATGAAAAGTATCGGTTGAAAAAAAAAAAAACCATAAAATTCGTTCACCTTCACTGGATTTACACGTTCTTTAATTAATAATGATAATAATCGTATTGCAGTAATACGTGCATAAATGCAGTAACTGGTCTCCGCCGAGACGGGATTACTAATGACTTCATCAAGGCACGCTGCTTGCCTAGACGTGATTAAAGTAATTACTCTCCTGTACATACACCGCTAGGTTTTCTCTATTCCCTGCTGATGTATATCCGTCCTTCTCTTCATTGTATGAGTAATACCTCAGTAATTCCCAGCAAAGCTTTTGCCCATCAAGTTATTGGTGCTTTCGCCCAAAAACGAAATAATGATGATGCACTTGTTCCATTGGGATTTATATCGTGAGAGAAGAAAATTCAATTGGGAGTGAGTGCGCCAGTTGTTCTATATATGTTTCTCGATGGTTTTTTTAAATAATAATTGGGGGTGGGAAAAATAGTTGAAAAATTGAGGGAGAATCTGTTTAATTTAGAGTACATTCTGGTTTTTATTATTTTTGAGGTGAAAAAAGGGGAATATTTATTCGTGGATTGTTAACTTTATTTAGGGAATTGTTTATTATTTTTGGGGAA